TTTCAGCGCCACTCGCTGTGAGAGTTTCAAGGCCAACTCGAGCGTAAGGACTGCATATGTTCCCGCGCTCGGGGCTGCGCCTGGCGGAAGCATGCTTGGAAGTACAACTTGTCAGCGAAAGAGGACCACGGGATACGCTCTGAAGACCGTGTTACTGAGGAGTGGCAGACATTCGCGATCAATGTCGCCAATCTGCTGGAGATGCCGCTGAAAGAACATGGCACCCTTAAGTTTAAGTCATTGCAACGCACTCCGAACCCAGAAGAGGATGTACTCAAAACAGCGTCGAAATGTTTCATGGGCTACGTTGAGCATACATGTGGGCTCAACAGCCAAAGCCGTGTGCAATCTCACCGTACATATTGTGAGGAAGCAGATGCAGAAAGTGGAGCCGACGGTGGCGACGATATCGTAGACACCGCTGCAGCGCAGCCAACGATGGCAAGAATGTTGACAGGACATCATTCTAACAGACGATGTAGTCCATTTATGAATCAAAAGGATCTGGTGTGCCTTCGTGCTTCATCCACCCTTCCTGCTAGTCCAGGGTTCGCTCTGGTTGTTCTGTGCGACCAGCGTTTCGGGGTTTCCACGTGTGTCCGATGTAGAAGCCAGTGAAATATGCAGATGTGTGTTCCATACGACGCCTGCGAAAACGTCAGTGCGTGACATGTATCCAATGCAACGGTACAGGCTCTAGCCTGCGGCAAGTGTTTCAGACTTCTAGTGTCACTTGGCCGCTTCTCCTGAGACAATTGAGGGAGATGCAGAGCGCTGACTCGCTTTAATTATAACAACGGGGGTGCCTTGCTCTCTCAAGTGTTCCGTTCTGGTTGAAGAAAGAGATCGTTTGTTATGACCCTGTGGAACTTCGGGAATGATTTTATTCTTTGCGCACCTACCTTATACGGCCTGCGCTCACGGCATCACGCCTCTGACGATCCCACGCCTTAGGTACGGCATCTCCCAGCGCATCAGCTCGGCTGTGTACAACCAGTGTGCAAATATATGCATGACAAATAGGTATCGATCCCCAGTCCCCGACCCAGTCTCTTTTAATAATTGCATACCAATTAGGAAGGGGCGCTCAAGCGCTTGGCGTCCGAGATGCCTCAGAACAGTGATCTGTCGACTCATCGTAACAGGTCGAGAGTCTAACCTACGAAATCAATGTAATCCTTTTGTAATAAGCCCTGCTGAAGCTCTCGCGATTATCCAATAACTGAATCTACATACAAACCTAACCGCAATAGTCAATCGAAGCCCACGTCCCCGGTTTATTGATGAGAATCACAATGGTAAACTACCTAGCAGCGCCTCCAGCGGCCATGGCAGGCCAAGCCAGTCACCACTTATCACCACATTGGACTCACACTTTATGTAAATATATACAGTACGACAAACAAGCACGAGTGTTCCGGGAGATAACATTGAACATGTAGCCACTTTTTAATACACACTGCCATGAAATTTCACTACATGTTACAAAAGAGCTGTCAAAAGGGGCTGTGGACGAAGGGCCAAGGGACTGCAGTACAGCACCGGGCCAGCTAGTCAACAGCACATATTATATACGAGATGGCTCATCAGGTGCTTGGCAGTCTGTACACTCTACAGCCCACCGGATCCGCCACAGAGGTCCGTCAGGGTATTAGGCTCTCGTCACGAGGAAAAAGGCAATGTACCCGTGCATAGTCCCGTGCATAGTTGCATACATGGCCAACAATGTCGGACGAGAACAAAGGAAGAAGGGGAAACCGAAAAGGAAAGCCGGGCATTGATTGTAGCAGGACACCGGCGCTCAGGCCTTAGGCATAGAACTGGACGACTGATGTGGACGAACATATTTTCATGGTGTTCCATGTACATAGTGACCTACCAAAACGGCTTTGTTCGTGTCCCATGACGTCTTTTGATCCAGCATCCCGGAATAAAATGGCGGCACTCTTTAACGCTCCCGTGTCATCTCAGTCTCTCTGCTTTCTTCCAGGGTCCTTCCAGACCCCATCGTCTCATCATGCAAAATTTTCGACCCCGAAATTCGGGAGTGCGTCAAAATGTCCAGAGAGGTGCGGCTCGATGTGCGCAAAAGCCGAAAACCTACAGAAACCCGCTGCAGCGGGTGGGCCCAGCGTCTGTAAGGGCTGGGGGGGCTCTTGGGACTACTGAACACGCGGTAGCGAGCGAGACACAACCCTAAGAGCCTCGAGATTGGATAGGCTCGCTCGTCGTGACTAGGGAGGCAAGTGACTCAAACCCTATTTGGAGCGTTCTGCGTGTTGAACTCAATCATGCTCGCTGACCTGTGTGAGGGCGCGAGCATGACATCTCTCTCCAGAGTCCAATTCCTTCTAAGCACGCGCTTGAGTGGCCTTCTTTGTCTCTACTTGCACACCACCCAGGAGTCTTGGTGCCTCAGGCATCCAGGCGCTTTGGTACATTCACAGGTGGGACCGCATTCACTCAACCCAGAGACCAGTGCCACCGTCTTCGTGATGAGCAAAATCATGACGGCTGACGACGCCATGTATGAGGATCCAGCGTACGACGCGGAGCTGACACTCGACGCGGAGATGGAAGAGGATCACGCGGCCATCGCAAACAACCCTCCAGCGCATTTGGCCCTAGAGCCCATGGAACAGCTGACGGAGGCTGAGGCAGAGATGGCTGATGTGGAAGATGCAGAAGTAATCGATACTTCTATCGTGGAGGTGGGACTGGAGGAAGCGGCCATGAACTCAGAAGCTCTGCGGCACAGTGCGGTTCTGGCTAAGGAGGAGGAAAGTGGAAGCGCGACGGTGACGGATGCAGCCACCGTCCCTGTGATCCCTGCTGAATTTTCGGCGAATGTGATCGACGGAGATTCTGTGCAGACTACAATGGGCGTTAATGCATTGGACGCGTCCTCTAGACCCCGCTTGTTGTCTTCCGAGCATTCTCATGACGACGGGCATCGCGCAGATAGCGACCAGCCGCTAGCCGATGCGCAGGATGCAAAGGCAGCCATTGTTCTCGAACAAAAGGATGCGCCCAGCGAAAATGTTTCCAAAAGTGCGGAGGAAGGGGCCGAGGGAGATGCGGATCAAGATCGCCATGCCGTTACCGAGGACACCTCACAAGGCGGCAAGTCTGAAATGGAATCGCAGGGTGTTCAGGACGATCACGATAATTTCCCTGCCATCCGTCTCACCTTCGACGGCCACGGCTTTGTCATCCAGTGTGGTGATCGCGAAGGCGATCTGCTGTCGTACGTACCGGCTCCAGGGACATCCAAAGAATCGGCCGAGGCGAGGACAGTTGCACCTGGAATCAAGGTTCCCGAAAACCTATACCTACAGCCACTGGAGGCACTCTTTCAACAACTACGGCTCGCAGAGGCGCTGGGAGAGTTTCTCGAGGACGACACTGAGCTCATCCTGTCGTTTCCGGATCTTGACCTCATCATACCAGAAGTGAGTCATTCCGCGTTTCATTTACCGGAAGAACATTGTTTGCTGAAGTCTTCTTGCCTCTTGCTAGGACAATATTTACGCCAGAGAAGTCACCCTCGAGGATATTCATAATCTGCACGTAGGCTGCGGACTGGAGCACAGTCTGCACATCCTAGTGACCGAAGGCCCACGCTTCATCAATCGCTTCAATTCACTTTCGGCTCAAGCCGATGCTTTCACGGATTCGGGAGAGATGGCGACGCAGACGAACGGCAAGCTTGCAGCTGAAGAGCAAGAGCAAGTATACCTACATGGACGTGTCGTTTCGTCCACGCAAGGGTCATCGGCAGCGGCGGGCGAAGAGCCGGACGAGTCAAGCAACGCAGAGCATGTGTACGAGACAGTGGGAAATGAAGCGAACGAAGTTGAGGACGATGCCGCAGTGAATGAAGTCGGTGCGTGCGTGGGCGCTTCTTATGGTGTCAGCTTGATTTATGTGCTGACAAAGCTTCTGTTGGCTGGGCGCAAAGACCCTGGTGAGGAGGTGATCATCGATTATGACGAAGCTGAGCACGAGGCGGGAGGCCCAGAAACCACGGCGGCAGACGTGGAAGCCTCCAAGGTGTCTCGGTCCAATATTGAGGGCCATACTGAGGTGAACAGCAGCGTTGACAACGGCGATGCTGAAGAGCCTGCCACGCGCAAGCGTCACGCACAGCCGACTACCGAAGCAGGCACCGATGCTGAAGACATTGAGGGTGAGTGCGCTTGTGCGTTGCTTTGCGCCGCAAAACCAAGCATTTGACTGACGTCAATGCTCCAAAGGGAACGCGAAACGTGCGAGATCAGACTGATGAGAAGCTGATCTCGGTGCGCCGTGACAATTTTGCGCTGGGATCAGCCAGCCATCCGGCACTTCTCCGAACACTTCACCTCGTCTAACGCCTCCGCACACCAGGAGGTCCTTATATAAGCATTTTTCTGCCAGAAAGTGTCTCTTGAAACCGTCTCTCCGCCTCTTTCAACTTATGAAAGCCCTCTGTTAAGCCAGCAATCTGCGGCATCCTCACACCGTGATCGCATGGCACATACAATTCGACATGCAGCTCACCGTTAGCGGCAATGTCTCGAATCACACAAAGATAACCATCTCAGCCTTTCGGGATGCACGTCGTATTCGTTGGCCGTTCTAGAAAGTGAAGCTAGCACGGTGGAGAATTAGTTCAGCATATCACCAGCCCGCATCGTTTCGCCACGCCGTTCCACAGCAGAGCAATGTTGCTTTCGACTGTGCTTCTATACGCCTTCTACATCGCTCCATCGCCTCTGCAAGCGTTGATATCGGTCACTTTAGGATCCTACGAAAGGCTTTCTCGGGTAAGTCCTCGAGTGCCGTACTGACCTTGCTCCCGAAATTCTCGTCAGAGGTTCTGGAGTTGTGCGCAAGGGAATGCAGCGGTCTCCATGCTGTCGATCTGTTAAATTCTGCTTGCAAGCGGAGTGATTGGAAGGCGGCGGATCTTGTTGACTGTGGGAATCATCTGTAGCATACTTTGCAGCCCAGCAGAAGTCATAAAAGATCGATGTCGTAAAACTGCGCACTGTATGCAGAGCACCGCCAAACCCCGTGCATTCCGTGCAGTCGTCACATTGAACATGGCACGCCCTGGGGAAGCGCGACAGTTGCTTCCCAAAATTGCGCATACATATTCTTCTTGTGCGCTTTGGCCCTTTCTAAAAAATCTGCCCCCGCACAAGAGGTGGCGGCACTAGACAAATGCCGCTGAGGGCGAAGCTACTCCTGCAAACGTACCAACATTGATCGTTTATGATTCGCACGTACTCATCGCCCCCTTTCAGTGGGTGCGCTACAATGCAAGGTTTGTAATGTAACCGCGCAAATGCTTCGAGCTGCCTTGGTCTCCGCAGGTCGCAGAAACTACAACAGGCTCCAGGAGAGAAGCCCCACAAACGTTCGTCTTGCCTGAAGCAAACCTTCTCGTGTTCTGCGTGTTCCGATGCGGCTGGTCTGTCCCTCTCTGAAGGTTGCTGTCACTAGCGGGTGTAAGACCGCACCCACAGGGGAGAGCATCAATGGCGCGAGGGCAAACGTTGTCGCTCATGTTCCCCTCCGTCGTGCAACGTGAGACAGTGCCCGAAACGAGGTTTGCCGGGCCCCGGCCGGTAGAGTAACTGCGGCTCGATTTCTTGGATCACGTCTAATATCTTCTCGTAATTCAGCATGCGTTTGGAGGTGTCGATGTCCCCAGTCCCCACAAGGTGTTCTCAGATCTTGTCAACCGCCGGTGTACGGAAGACAAAATACCCACCAGGTGATGAATGGGGGCGCAGTGCCTGCCAACACATGCTCTTCTGCAACACTACATTGAACCGTGACAACACGTGTGGCATGACGCGGTAAAAGATCTGAAATTTGAAATTTGAACTAAAGTTACACACAAATCGGCCGATGTGCTTAAGGCCAAACAACCCGGTCAGAGGGCTAGACTACCATGAAGGTTGTAGCTCGTGGCACATCGTGGCTGTCCGCAGATGGTCAGGCATCGACGCTTGACGCGCGTTGTGTACACTGTAAAGCTCTAATAAGCAGATAATCCTCTCCACTCGCACGTCGGCCAAGTGTCATTGCACAAGATAACTGCACTCGCCTTTGCCACCGTGCAGAGTCAAGACACTACATATAGAGATATCCCTTTACAAACCCGGTTACCGCTGCACGGCCGGGAATTTGCATACGATAGAGCACACCCTTGGCTGCGTACTCGTGCAAGTTTCTCGTCATCACACACCCAGGCGGAGTCCAGGCACTCCAACAAGGGGATACGCTACACGTAGGACGAGTGAGCCGAGCAAGGCTGAGCACCTTTACATGCTTTTACAGAGAGGCGTCGCATGCAAATCGATCCCGTACAGCAATAATCAATGATCAAGGAAGAGTCACCGTGACACCGTGGTTGAGCTGACTCGAGTGGGATGGATCGCCTTACTGAGCCGGACCACAATGTCGGGATGATGGGACTGGGAGGGCACCGGGGGAACCTGCGTGAAGTGGTAAAATGTCATTCTCTTTCCATGTCCTTCTGGCTTGAGGGGTTGAGTAACGACTTCGCCTGACACAGCCCCCCAGCAACGACGGTGGCTAGACAGTACGGATATGTGTTGTTTGATGTGACCACCTGCGTCTTTCGTTCGCTCAAGTGCATGGTACATACGTCTTCCCGCTTCGTGCGCCATCCAAACCACAATGCTCAACGTCATGAAGCAGTTGACCTTGAAACAGAGACCGCAGTTTTTCGGACAGGGTAAGCTTGAGCATGATTATGTACTCTTGCATCCTGGACGAGGACGCGTTTCGTCTCCGGCCCCCCGTGCGAGTGGCAGTTGCTCGTCGCGAGTCACTCGAGTGGCGAGTTGGCGACCGTTGGCCATGCTCCGACTTCCGAAAACATCCCTGATCGTGCCTATGTGCGAAGTTGTATTGTCGAGCCCGTCATAAAACGTATGGAGGGCTTTGGGGATCATGCACTCGCAGGCTATAATAACCCTGAAGCAAGAGCCGAGGTGAAAGGTGAGCTAGTAATCCTGGTTGAGTGTTCTCGGTGCATATGTTTGTATGTATGGACCACACATGCGTCATGCGTCGGACTCATCACTTCACACTGCATATTGCGCCACAGTCCTTATGCGACGGATGAGGTCACAACATATGATGATACTTCGTTACGTCCACACGAGCCAACGACAGTCACACGCACCATTCTCGCAGATCGCAGTACAGGGAGCTTCCCAGACGCGAAGGTCTATTATGTGATGTGCTAGGCTGTGCTTTTGCGCTCGCTCATTTCGTTGCCCTTTGTAGGTACAAACAAGGCGTCTCGCGTCCTGCGTGCTACAATCTAATGTGCTCACCAGCAATCCGGCGTATGCGTGGGTTGGTAAACGGACAAGTCGAGGGAAGGTGATCCTTTCGTGGATGAAGAGAGGTGAAGACGATGTCAACGCGGCGCCTATCCGCCATGTGGCTTCATGGTGGCAAAGCCGGACAAGGCTGTGCAACTTGGCAAGACTCGTTAGATACGCGAAGCGCAGCGCCACACCTCTTGTGGCAACCAGTGTGGAAAGATCATTTACGATACATATGGAGTAACTGTGGTGACCGCGGAAGCTGACAGACGGTATATATATTATAGAGCCGTCAGCTCGAGTATCAGTTCGGCCTTGTTGGACAACCCACAGTCCCACGCGCATCTGCATTTCACTGAATCCATCGATCATCCCACACATAAGAAACTACATAGATACCTCTGCCATCTCTACATCTTCCGTCTCATGATATCACGTGGACCAGTTACACACATGCTCCTCGCATCTCTCATTCCCCAAGTCCAAGGTCCAAACTGACATTCTGATGATTTAAGTAGAGATATCATCTCTATGTATGTAGTTTAAACACTGCACATACATTCACAATATATTCATGGACAAAAATATGGAAAAAAATGTATGATGTATGTACATGTGTAGGTATGGATCAATGCATTTGCCAATTCCGCTCTCGCTGTGACAGTCCGTAGCTAGCGCGAAATATACTAAAACAACGCTAGTGGCCTTCAAACCCCTTTGACAATAAAAACTCCACACAAGTTGGTGTGCAAAAATATAATGCATGGAAATAACGCACAGATTGTGGCTCTGAGCTAGTCATGAAGGCTGCAAGCTTGGGCAGGCGATACAGAATATTTTTCTTCGAGTGCATATTTCTCATTTAATTTATTACATACAAATGTCATATACATACCCACACAGTCAGGGCAGTGGCCAGGACACTTCCAGAGCATGACATTGCAGTTGGTACAATGGAGTCTGGAAGGGACGAGGTCTGGACGCGCTGGAGGCTCTTGGACGCTGGAAGCCGTATATTCACTGGATATTGGATGTCAGGATGCTGGATACAAGTCATGCCGCTCCATGGACAGACGGTGGAAGATGCGTGTGTTTGGCCAAAGGTACGTGGACGAGTGGAAAATGTGGGAAATCGCGAACAAGGCAAGCGGGCCTTTCTACATTTTACCCATTTCACGTTTTCGCCCGTCTTTCGTCCTGCTGACCTCTCACAGCAGGCATAAGCAGTTGCCTCCACGCATCTGACAGGGTGTGGATAGATGATGGCTGTGGTTTCTCTCAACGGATGTCGACGAGCTTGCGAGCATCGAAATGCTAAGCTCGGGTGGCGTTGAATGCCGATTGCTGTGTTGAGTGCTCTGCCGTCTGTGATCCAGAGCTGGCGGTGGTCTGATCCTGAGGTCCTGATGAGGAGCCCAGAACCCTGCAACTCTGTGACTTTTTCGCCCTTTCCGTGGCAGGACAAATCCGTGTGGCGCGGCGGTGGCCCTGGGTACAAAATCAGTGTGCAGCTTTGAGAGCAATTGAGTGGCACAGAGGTAGTCGTTGTACAACTTGCACTTCAACTGCCTGCCAGTGCCTGTGGTGGGACCTGCTGGGACTGCGCCAGTTGAGTAGGTTTCAGTCCAAGATCCAAACTGGTCGCTGCGGTGCTTTTGATGACCCTCCTTTTTCCGGGGCAAGACGGCAAAAATGGCGACGTAGCTACTTTTGCCAGCAGCCCACTGGTTGAGATCCTGTGATGAGATGGAGAGCTGGAGACTAGCTTGAGCTGGTGGCACCACTATAGGCTCGGCCCGTAAGAGCATCCTCCGAGCCCAACTCCCCCTTCATCTCAAGAACACGCGCGCTTCCTCTTTCTTGGAGTTGTGTGTGGAGTCCACTATCTGTTAGTCACCATCCATCCCATCCGCCACCATCTCAAGCCCCCGCTAACGTCTGTGTTAGCTATCTTCATTCTCGCTATCGATCCTCTGCCCACTGCGCCCACATAATCTACTAGTGGATAGCACGCACAGTATTTCGGCTAGCTTCTCTTTTCGGTCCGCTTCACAACGCCCATCTCCCACTTCGGTCATTTCTCTCTTCCACCTTTCCTATCACCTTTGTCGACAAGCCGAAGAGCTCTTGGCCATCGGTCGCGGTTAGTCTCCGGACGGCCAACCCTCCCCTTCGGCTTCGACGTCACCGGAGTGCGCTTCATCAGCCACACACCAGAATCGGTGCTTGGCCGTCAATCGTTACATAGGCGGTCCAAGTCCCAGCCCGTAGGCTGCAGCTGCATCCACACATGCATTCACTCTGACAGCATCAACAGGCATCACGCATCACTGAGCTGTGAGGCCATTCGAAGCGACGCGGTGTGCGGCGCGGCTACAGCCATACGCGTCGACCATCCAGTTTGCCTCCTCGCGTTCCAAAGGCCAGTAGCGACCTGTCACTGCGCAGCCACTGCGGAATCCTCTTGTACCCTTTGCCCGTCAGCATCCGCCTCAACCCCTTGCGCTACCTTGTATGTCTGTCCTTTCTACGCCAAGGCAACCAGTAGCAGCCATCGTCAACAAGGCCTAGTGCAGGGCCCATCAGCGCACGCCCGGTTGCCAACCTCGGAATAAGCAGCAACGGCGCTATCGCAAGCGTCACTTCCACCTGGGTCGCGTCGAGCATCCATTGCAGTTCTTGATACTCACGACCCGTTCGCATAGCACCACAGGGATCACGTTCCTACATCTTCCGCTTCCCCGCTGGCCCACCCTTCGGCGGAAGCATCTCTGATAAGATTCGCGGACGTGAACTGGCAGTGGCGGAATCTAATCTCTGCCTTCTACGCGACCGCAATCGCGTTCAACAACGCAGGCGGTGAGCCGACCGACTTTGTGCAGCTCTCCAAGGTGCCTTTCATCATTTTGCCTGCGACAGAGCTCCCATAGTTGCCCGCAGCGGCCATTGCGCAAGTGCACGCACAAGCGCAAGCGCAACACGCACGCGCCTCACTGGCCCGAAACCTGACTCCACCACAGCTGTCGTGCCGCCACCCGCTTTGGACATACGTCGTCCAAGCATCACAACTGCTGCGTCTCAGCTGATCCTCTCAGACTTCTCACCCTGGAGTCACAGCCACGTCGGTTCAGCAGTGACATCGCTTCTGACGCCCATTCCACCGGCTTGAGTTCGGAGCAGCAGCATCACGATCGCCATCGTCGACGATCAGCTTCATCAACGAGGTAGCTGAGAACGTCGCAGTTAATACCAGCAGTCCAAGCAGTGGCTTGATCGTATTTTGCGGGACGTCTCTGTCCCCTTCCAAAAGCATCAGCGCTTTTGCCATCGGTGCTTGCCTCGAGGCCAAAATGCCACCCCCCAGAGACTCGTCACTGAAGCGCCGTCTCAGCCTCAAGGCGGAAGGCCTATCGAACCCATCCGTGGGAGCAGGCATGTATGCAAGGAGGAATGACGCCAAGCAGGCTGGCGTGGGCGCTGTCAATCATTCGGCCAGTGAACCTAGCTTCTTTGCCGACCCTTTCAGTAATGGCGTTGTGAACCACTTGGCTGATGCCTCCGCCAACGGCGATCCGCAGGCCACCTCTGGGCTGCATGGTACAGACTCGGTGGGCCATCCCCTGCAAGCGGGCGCGCCCCCGGACGCAAGTGGTCCCTTTGGCCTCCATCCGAACGAGATCTCGCGCCAGATTCATTCGTCTGCCAGCTACTCTGAAGCGAGCGGCTATGAGCACCATCCGCTGCCTGGCTCTGCACACAGCTACGTTGGTTCGCCACCGACTTCGAACGGCCACCACATGGCTTCCTTCAGCGGCCCGTCAGGCGGCTATGCGCCGCCACAGTATGGCGCGCCGCATATGCCGGCACACATCCTGCACCGCGCCTCGATTTCTGGTCCGATTATGCAGCATGGCTCATATGGCGGGCCCACTGCTGCTGCGGTCACTACGGCCGGCTTGGCATCCGGTGCGCATGCTGGCGGATCGATCACAGCGCCACCGATGGCGGGCGACACGGCGGCATGGGCGCATGCACACGGCGCGCCGCGACCCCACACGGCTGACGGCATGTTTGGCTCGTTTGGGTTTGGCGCGAATGGGTATGCACCAGCGAGCACAGAGGGCAGTGCAGCGGCAGAGAGCGAAGTTAGTTACGCAAGAGGTGACCATTCACAGCATTTGGTAAGCGCACAGCCCCTTTCCACAGGCCTTGTGATGTGTAGGCTGACTGTATGCGCTCGTCTTTACCCCTATATGCGTAGCTCTTCAACTACCCTTCTCAAGCTGGTGCACGTCCGCACGATGGGCTAGCCAATGGCAGTGCCGAAGAGTCTTTCACATCCAGTGTCGATGGAGGCGGGGACGATGGGTCCTACGACGGTGGTAGCAATGGCGGCTCGGTCGGCGCATCAGCCTCCGGGACGCCAGGTCACAAGAAGCGTCCCCGTCGACGATATGACGAGATTGAGCGCATGTATGCGTGCAGCTGGCCCGGCTGTTCCAAGTCGTACGGCACGCTCAACCACCTCAACGCGCACGTAGCCATGCAGAAGCACGGCTCGAAGCGCCTACCCGCCGAGTTCAAGGACATGCGGAAGGCGTGGCGTAAGGCGAAGCGGGAGGAGGAGCAGCGCAGGATGGCGCAGGCGCAGCAGACGGTCAATGCGCATGCTGCAGCCGCAGTGGTACAGGGGAGGCACGATCAGGACGAGTTGTTTGCTGCGCACCACCGCGTGCATACCCACCCGGCTTTTTTTGGGAACGGCTCCGGGTCAATGGGCCCGCCCACGTGGGTCCCTCCGGCGCATGGCGCGTACTCGATGGGTCCACCACAGCAGCCCTATCACGCGCAGCCGCAGCACCTGGGCAGCAGTCTGAGCAGGCCAGGCGCCATGCAGCCACCTCTGAATACAACCAGCGCTGTTGTAAACGGCGGCAGCGGGAGTGCTGGAGGTGTTGGAGAATACGCTCCGCCCTCTGGCCTTGGCGGGCCGCCGCCTGGTCAGTATTACGCATCCAGCGCGCCGCAGCCGGCAGCTGAAATTGATCACAGGCCGTACGTTCCGCCGAGCGCTGGTGGGCTTGGAGCCTATCTGATGGCGCACCGGGGCAGCATCTGAACAGAGCATATTCTCGGAATTTGCTCCAACAGCCCGCAGCACCTATCAAGGCGCAAGATCATCCAAAGCATTTCCATTCAAAGATACCTCAGCAAACACATGATCTTTTGATCTTTCACTCACGCCTCGACTTCGCCCTGGCATGAAGTGTGCTCTCGCTTTCCTCTTATTTCTCTTGCACGCGCATTTTGCACGCTACCTGTGCTTTCTGTTGTAAACATTGGCTGGCAGGTCGGGACCATTGGCGTTGATCGCCTCGAGTCGTCCGGGCAGGTTCTCCTTCGATCTCTTCTTTTTCTTGGTGCTTGCAAACTTGCAGTTTGCCTCCCGCGCTTCTTGCCTCCGTGTTCGACCTTTTCTCCGGGGCCACGTGCAGGAAGGCTGTTGGTCACCAACTAAGCAAACCAAGTATGTACTTTAACGAACCGCAAAAGCTGATGCATACGGGAATTTGCAAAGAACGCTATAGTGTGCATTGTATGCTTATTGCATTGTTCGAGAAACCTGCAGTACATTGCAAAGCAGCAAATTATGAAGAGATAACCCAGCTCAGGCTTTCTTCTTACGCTTGATTGAAAGCGTGTTGATCTTGTTGACTGGTGCGCCTCCAGCTCCTACTATGCCTGACGCTTGCTGCGCTCCCTTGGCCGCTTCATGCAGTGCTTTTGCATGCTCCAGCACGTCTTGCGAGACGGAAATGAGCTGGACCTCGTCCCAGATGATACCTTTGCCGATCTTCTGCTGCTGTGCATGCGAATCGCTAGCAGTTGACTCCCCAACTGTAGCGGCTGCCGCAGCAGCTTGCAGCAACCCTTCACCTTTGCGCTTGAGCAGCCTGCTGACGGCTTGGTCCCACTTGCGCGTAAGCTCGATCGCATCGGCCGACTTGCCCCAGTTGTTCTTGTCCAGAAGGAGCATCTTCAGAATCAGCTCGGAGAGCAGCGCCTCGGGAACAGAGCCAAGCGTGCCGCGCCATCCTGTGAGCGGTGTCTGCATGCTGCGTTCTTGCCTTTCCTTCCCAGCAATGCCCTCCTCCATATTCTTCTCATGCACGGGTCTGTGTCCATTGACCTTTGTGGCAGCTGAAGGCGGCTCCCCACGCGTGAAGAGAGCGACGAAGACTCCTACCGCGTTGCCAGAGCAGCATTCTTGCCGGTAGCCCATGCGCTCCCAGAACTCATCTACAGAGATGGCGTCGAGCGCGGCGCGTTCCGTCAGCGCGAAACGTTGCTCGGGCGGGAGCGCTGAGGCTGCACTGTTGATGTCTCTCCTGTTGTTACTTGTCAATGCTGCAGCGTCAGGCGGTGCAGCAGGAACAGCAGCAAAGTCTGAGACAGAGATGCCGCTGTCGTCTCCCGCCGACTCGGTCTCTTCTCCGCCAGCCTCGAGCTTGCGTCGCCTCTGAGGCCGACTAGCTGCTGCCTCCTCCTCCGCACCCGTTGCTATTCTCTTACTTCGGTCTGCGTCTCGCGCCGCAGCATCCAGCTTCTGTAACAGCGCTCGCACATCACCGCTGACGAAGCCGGCGTGCTCGTGTGCATCTCGCACGATTTCGTCAATGAAGCGCCCCTTCGGATCGTCCTCGAAGCGCGGGATGAGTGTCGCAATTGAATGTTGCCTCTTTGCACTTGCTGGTACTCCAACTAGGCCTTGCGATGCAGCGGGAGATAGCGCTCTGAGCGATGCAATGGTCGAGCTGCTGCGTAGGCTCCCAATGGGTACGTGCGCAGGTGGCACGCCAGCGTGATGCAGCGGTAGAGGGTAGCCTGCTGGGTTATCCGCCGTTGCGTAGGCGCGCGAATAGGGGTGGCCGTAGTTCCACTTCGCTCGTTGGAGAGCGGTGGCGACAGACGTAGCCGCGGAAGCTTTGGGGGGAAGAGGAATGAGGTCGGTAGATTCGACGGCGCTGTAGCCTGGAATGAGGTAGAACGTATCTACGCGGGTCGCGGTGCCTGCCACGTTCACATCCGATGATGATTTTTCCGGCTCTCCATCGCTGTGCTCCGCCGGCGCCGGCAGCTGTGCATTTGCGACGACATCGCTGACGACGGACCGCCACCACTTGATGAGTGCTGCATCGCTCAGAACGTGCTTGCGGGTATTGTCCGGACTGCTGGGGAATAAGTAGGCGGCTTGTGCGCGCGCAAGAATGTGCAGGCTCAGGTGGTCGATAGCGAATTCACCTTGTTCCCGGGAGAAGGAGGGCGATGGATGGGAGACAGGAAGACGCCAGTGAGCAAAAGAGGTGAAATAACTCAAGAAGGAGTGGGTGAGGAGCTTGACCAGTGTCGTTGGCACAGGTGTTGGTGTTGCCCGCCCTTGCGCGGAGTCCTGTTGCCTCTTAGCGAGCACGGCGGAGATGAACGGACGTGCATCCTTGAATACCGGGTCAATTATGCCAGGAGGTGCGTAGCCTGTCGTGTCCAGTTTGGACACGTACAGCACAGCGGAGCGGTGGTTGGGGAGCGTGTAAAGGAAACACTCAAGGGCGTAGATGAGGCGAGAGCCTCCTTCTCCCACCTTCTCGTCCCCCTCCTCCCAGCTGGCAGAGAGAAAGACTTTTTCACACCACGCCTCAGTCACATTGGCCTCCAGCCAACCGTTCTTGCCGTCAGGTCGGAGGGGATGTACGTGCGCGAGCGCGTAGAGCTCGCGCGCAGGCCGCGGCGCACCGAAGAGGACATGCAGCTTGACGCGGCCCGACTGTCCCAGATGCAGCACGGGCGCCGAGGTACGTAGCGAGTGGAGAAGGTGCTGCAGCAGGGCGGGGGCCGAGGGCGACGAGGTACGAGCCGAACTGCTCGCTAATGGAGCTGCTGCTGGCAGTTTCGCGGACTCAGCCCCGAGGGGCACGGACGCGGACACGGTCGTCGCTTCTTGCAGGGTCATCGTGATGCTTTTGCTTTGGCCTTGAAGACCGAGCTTCCGCGTCTGCCTTCGCCTTCTCCTTTGCCCTGTACTGTACTCTCCTCCTGCGGTGACAATGTACTCGTAGCGACTGATGGGCGAACGTGACGTTGACCGTGTTGTTGCTCGTATGAGTTGATGTGGTCTCATTCGACTCGCTGAGGAGAGAGACTGTGAGTGATGAATAGATCACTTATACGCGCTGCGAGACGCGACGCGACGCGCTTTCCTTCGGGGTTAGAGGGAAGTACAACCCTACTCCAGCGGTCTGCATTAACCCTATTTACGCCTTCCCCCTGGCAATCCCAGCTGCGCTAATCATAGTAATGGATCATCGTCATGCACCCCTGACCACAACGACCGATGCGATGACGGATGGGCAGGTGCACCACGCAGATGATGATGATGGGTCGTCGATTTGGTTAAGACGGACGACAGTACAAACAACTTGGTCGAGGAAGGGGGCAACTTCCTTCCTCGCGATCACTGTCATCCTGCTGGGAGCATGTCGGTCTGCTCAACAGCTTGACCAGCTAGACCCACATCCGGGGGCAGGATAGACATCCAGCGTAACTGGCAGGCAGTCCCAAGTTGTACTCACTCCCAGGTCGCACCAGTACAGTCCGCTCGTCTGCAACATCCCCCGAAGTATGCGTTGTCCCTCCACAGTGCGACTCCTATAGTAGCTGGCAGAGTAGAGCACGTACACTTTGCGCTCAACATCAACGAAGCGTTGATGCTGGTTCTACCGACGTGACCCAAGCTCAATCTAGCCACAACAACACCATCAACAAGGGCCGAAACCAACACATCAACAGCATGGTTGTCACCTCTCTTCAAGCGGGCGCAGCGCAGCCGCCGCCGATGCTGCTGCAGGTCATCTTACCCGATAACAACACAATCCTCTCCGCCTCGCTCACCTCCATCTCTGGCTACGCAGCGCGCAGCGAACCTGATGAGCTCACGTTTCGCCACCTCCTCCAGGCTCTGCTCGCCGATCCCGCCAATGCGAACAGCCTGTCGTGCGTTTTTGGTCACTTCTTTCATGATGCTCAAGGCCATACAAGCGCAACTGTGGAAGCTGGACGGCCTGCTCACGGACCAGCCCCAGCGGACACAGAAACTCTGCAGGGCTCCTCACGCGACGGCACGCACTTTCACATTGATCGAGCCGGCGTGCGATGGGGCTTGCAGGCCGTCGTCATCAGCGAAGCAAACAAAGAATGGGCCCCTGGAGAAGTGGAGCGGATTGGGGACGGTGGGTCCCTCTCCCCGAGTAGAACGCAGCACGCCCTCGTCACTGAAGATTTTTTCTCTGGCACTTTCAGACATCCTACCACTTTCAGCTCGCATCACTGATTTCCTCAACTCGCCCCTCCTGGCATCCTCTTCATCTTCCTCATCGTCCACAGCTACACCTTCCGACGTCTCGCAAGAGCAGTCACACCCGGCGGGAGGCGGCGACGCCGCCTTCTCCGACTTTGTCCTCACTTCCCACCTGCACAAACCGCGTCTGCGCCTGATCGTACACGCTCCGGGGCTCTGCGTGCGCCTCCGCTTCGCGCATGTCCCAGAGATCAGCGAAGGCTGGCAGGGCCGCTGCTGGTATTTGCCAGCCTCTTCCTCCGAGTGCCACGACCCCATCGCTGCGAATGATGGCACACAGACGCGGCTCAAGCGGTCCGCTTCCACCACTGTCGCTGCGAGTGCCAGGAAACCTGCTGCAGGGGCTGTTGGAAAGGATTCTTCGCCCGCAGTTAGCAGGGATCAGGTGAAGCATGTGATCGAAGCCGCGTGCGAGGAGCTAGGCATACGCCGTGTAGTCGTGCAAGGCTCCAAGACCGCACGCGTCGAGTATGCACTGACCCTGCCGACCATCGATGCGGGAACGGTAGACGGAGAGGCAAGTGCGGACATGCGATATGTCAAAGTGCCGACGGGCATGCCCCCTCCGCCGCCACTACCACCAGATAAAGACTTGGGAAGCTTGCTCGCCGAGCTGCATCAGCAGCGCGCGCAGCGTCCACCCCGGCGGGCGCACGCCCTGGCTGCGCTGGATGACCCGCCCATTCTGCTATTCACGCTTAATGCCACATGGCTCTCACGCCTCGGCACTGTCGCGCTTGGGTTCGGCAAGCACGCGCGCGCCGCGCGTGGTGGTGCCGATCCCGAAGCCGCGGCCGGCGCACAGGGCCACCGTGCCGCTGCCGCTGCTGGTGTAGGTGCAAGGGCCAATGCCACTGCAGCTGTTGGCGTCGGAGGCGGAATGCGTGCGCTGTGGAGCGCGGCAACTAGCAGCTTATCGCACACTACTGGCGCGCTAACCGCTGCGGACGTCGTCGCGGGGGATCAGGAGCTCTCGGCGCTGGGACTCCACGCTGAATCCGAGCATGAGGGCGATGGAGATGGAGATGGCGGCACCGGCGCCGACGGTACTGGAGCTGGAGGAACCCTCAAGGCTCAGCATCGCGGCGCAGCACCTTCAGGCGGCACACTTAACGCCAAAGAGGGCAACACGTTCATCAGTGCCTCCGCCTCACCTTCCCCCCAAGCAACCAACTTCAACACAATTCCTAACCACCAAGGACGCGCAAAAGGCTCTGCGGGAAGCACGGGCACGGCAATGCGCTTGAGCAGAATGTTCGAAGGCTGGATTGGCGGCACCGGTGGCAGCAACTCCATTGCTGGCTTAGCAGCTGAGGGAGACTTGGAGGCGGAACAAGATGGCGAGCTTGACAGCAATGTCGGCAACGAAAGCTTTTCGTCCTCTGGCTCCGGCCATGCTGCACCCGCGGCGGCGGCAGTGAATGGTGGTGGAAATGGGCGAGCAGTAGCTACCTCAGGCGCGACCCCGCGCAGAGAGTACAGTAGCACAGTCGGCCGCTCCGGGCGCGTCATTAGCGTCAGCGGGCCGCTCGAGCTCGAACAGGCCCTGTCGCCTTTCTCAACCCGATTTAGCAGCATGGGCAGCCCTACCATCGGTCCGGCTGGAGGGTCGCCGGTCATGCCGCCTCACATCCCGACAGACAGCGTGCTCGGCTCACCTCCCTTCGCACCTTTCGCGCCAGACGACAGCGCCTCCGACCTGGAGCGGCGCTTCGAGGTACTTATTCAGGACTTGGGAATTAAGGGCCCGAGTAGGGCTGCAATGCTCGCGCTGCCGGACGATCGCAAGTGGTTTCTCATTCGTCAGAACGAGAGCGCCAGCGCCGATACTGGTGACAGCAATGGGAAGCGCCCGGCTCAACGCGCCGGCTCAGGTACTGCACCAGCTCCCGCTACATCCGAAAACTCTGAAGGCTGGTTCTCCAGACCGCTGAATCGCTTCAGCATGGCGAGCATCACCAGCTGGTCCGGCGCTGACAGCACCGCCGCTGCTGCCGCAACCCCTGCCCTGGCGACTGCCTCACCCAAGCGCCGCGACGGCGCTCTAGTCGACAGTCCGCGCACGACCTCTTCTACACACTTCGGGCTCAGCGACGGGTCGATGCCAAGCAGCAGGCCGACAACAGTGGTATCCGACACTGAGCAGGCATGTTCTGGCGGCGGCGGCGTCGTCGCGCATAAGACAGGCATAAGCGTACAACATACCGGCTCTTCTGCCGGTGCCGCAGCTGCCGCGGTTGCCGCGAGTCTGTGGGCCAACTGGTGGGGAGCGAGCCAGAGCGGTACCATCTCTGTCGCCTCTGCACCCTCCGTTGCGTCTGCTCTGGCGTCTAACGCCAAAAACTCAACTATTAATCCCGCATCTTCCGGTGTTGCCGGCGCCAAGAGCGCTCCAGCCCGCTATGCAGCGACGTTACTGGCAGGAAAGGCTTCGCGCAAGGAGCTAGTCAAGCATTTGATCAGCTTGCGTGTCACTCTGTCCAGCGCCAAGTTGGTGTGGATCGCCGAGTTCCTGGATGCAGACGGTCTGCTCGCGATCGAAAAGGTGCTGAGCGAAGAGTGCGAGGCGCTCGTCGACGTCTCTTCCCACAGCAAGAGGAAGGAGCGCAAAGACATGTCCGACGTGGTAATCTCGGAATGCGTCAAGTGTCTGCGGACGTTGATGAACACGGAGGTGAGCTGATGAGACTGCAATGAATCCCCGCGCAAGTCGGTGTTAATGCTGACCCTTCGTGACTTCGACCGCATCGTCAGCTCGGCTTTGAGCGTGTGCTTGAACGGCCGAATCTCGTCAACTCGGTTGCGTACAGTCTGCGCTCCCAGTCATACAAGTTGCGTTCTCAGGTTGCCGAGGTCCTCGCTGCGCTCTGCGTTCTCGGTCTTACGGAAGGACATAGGCTCGTCTGTGCGGCGTTCTCCGAGCTTCGCGTCGTGACTGGCAGCCAGTATCGGTTTTCTTACCTCGTCAACTCGCTGCGGTTGTCAAATGATGACGGGTCGTCGGACGATGTGGCTGACTCCCAGAGCGAGACATCATTTGATAATGATCATGCTGGAGAGGGCGACGAGGCCGCGGTGTGGGAGTACCGCGCTTCCGTGATGGTGCTCATCAACGCCATTACCAACAGTCCAGAGGACCTGGAGGAGCGTGTGTCGCTGCGCGAAGAATTCGCGCGCCGTGACGTGAATGAGGTCATGGTCACACTTAAGTACGTCAATCCGCCCGAGCCTCTGGCTGTTCAGATCCAGGTCTACCAGGAAGAACGGCAGGAGGACCTCGAGGAGATGCGTGAGCGAGCCATGCGCATTTTCACTGCAGCCAACGAAGAGGGCACCGATTCGCAGTCGACGACACTTCGTGAGATCGGCTCGCTGCTGACATTGCTCGAGAGGGACCATATCGAGACATTTTCATCGGTGCTCGAGATTGTGCGCCAAGTCACTAGCGCCATCCAACGCGACATCGACTCGCAGCTCAAATTGGATGTTCTCTTCGTCATCGAGCGCTTTGCAGAGAATGCGACATCGATCGACGACTTTGACGAAGGCTGGAAGGCGTTCATGAAGAGTTTCCTCTTCAGTATCCAGCATCTCGTCGGCAAGCAAGCCATCATCAAGGCGAATCGCATGAGCGACACGAGCTCTGTCCCCAGCTCATTTGTCGAAGAGCTTGAAGGGTTGCGGGCAAAGGTGGAGGAGCTCAGCGACGAGAAAGCTGAGCTTAAGCAGAAGCTGAACGAGAAGACAGCTGAGAGCAACACTCTTCGTAATCTGCCCAACTTAACCACTTTCAGGCGCGAGACCGATGATGAGAGCCTGATGGAAGAGTCGGCAGCCCCTGCCGCGATGCTTTCCAAGCGAAATGAGAAGGACACGTTCGCTGGCGTCATCCAGCGCCTCGTGCAAAAGGAAAAACAAGTGCTGGAGTTGCAAGAGGAAGTGGATCGGCTTTCAACACACAGACCATCGAATGACCCTAGCGGCGAGCGGGCTAAGAAGGAGAGGCTCGAGCGAAACAAACAGTGGTCGAATTTGATGGAAGAAATCTCTCGCCACAAGACAACGATTACAAATCTAGAGGGCCAAATGGAAGCGCGCGATCGCGAGGTCAAGTACCTCAAACGCGCGCTTGAAGCCGTCTACGGGCGTTTTCAGTCAGGGCTCACAATGGATGGCAAGACCGCGTTCGAAGAAGAGGAGGGAAAAGAAGGGACCCAGTCCGACTTGGATGTCAACACCATGGCTGCCAAGACCATCCAGGCACTGAGCGACAAGGATGATGCCATTGCAAGTCTCAGAAGTGAGATGGTGGCGAAGGACAATGAACTCGCTGCGCTGCGCACAGATATTGCACGACTCCAGGAACAAGCACTGAGCTCAGCTGAGCAGCATCGGCTTGAAGAGGTGGCATTGCAGACGGACATTTATCGGCGGCTCGCTGCGAAAGATGAAGACATAAGCCGCCTGAAGGGCGAGCTCGAGAAGTTGCAAGCCTTGCTTTTACGCTTGCAAGTCGGTGGCGATCTGGCCAGCGCTCCCGCGCATCGCATGGCTCCGCGTCCGCCGCCGCATGCAGCGCCAGAGTCCAAGCCGACAAATGTGCGTGGTGTGCGTATTGTGACGGCAGCTGATTTCAAAAAGTCCACTCCGCCGCCACCTCCCCCGCCGCCAATACGACGCTCGGGATCCAGCCACAGTCGTAACGGTAGCCTTCAACCTACCCCGCCAGTGTCCCCCCATGTCACGGGGACGAGTGCCTCTGCTACGGAAGCTATGTCAGGCCGACTTCACGCCGTGCAACACACTCTCAAACCGGTTGCGGAAGTCACATCCAATGATTGCGTACCTGACACAACTGCAACAACTTCGAGGAATGAAGCAGCATCAGCACAGTCAGATGCCGTCGAATCCTTGAATGCCTCTGAGATAGGCGAACCTGCGCAGACACAATATGTTGCCGCACCACCCCCTCCTCCGCCTCCTCCGCCACCACCTCCACTCGTGGCTAATGGCCTTTCATATGCATCTGAGCAGGAAGGTGTATACATCCCCCCTCCACCGCCACCGCCACCGCCCCCTCCCATGGCGCTCGAAGCCGCGTCGCAACCATCGGGATCACAAGCACCGCCGCCACCGCCACCTCTACCAGCCCCCTTACTTGCCCCAAGGCCGCACAGTGCAAGCACACCTGTGCCGCCGCCTCCACCGCCTCCGCCAGCGCAACTTGGACAACCTGGTATGGTGACTGCATTGGGGACAACGCCATCTCCACTGCCGCCTCCTCCACCGCCTGCGCCTGGCAGGTCAATGGGAGTACCTGGTGGGCCAATTGTTCAACCGCCTATGCCTCCGGGAGTTGTCCCCAAGAAGCGTAGAGTGAGTCTCGGCGCCAATTCAGAGTTCGGTTCTCGCTGACAGAGACTTTTCTTCTTGCAGCCTCTGTTTTGGACAAAGGTACAGGGATCCTCACTTAACCAGACAGTATGGAGCGATCTTCCATCCTCCATGCCGCAACTACAGATTGAGGATCTTGACAAACTGTTCGCGATTTCTTCCTCAAAACCAGCCGCGCCGGCAGCACAGAAGGTCGCCAAGAAGTCTTTGACAACGCTCATCGACCATAACAGAGCGCATAATATTGGTATCCTGCTTGTTCGGGTCAAAATGAACTTTTCGCAGATTCGCCAGGCATTCCTTGAAGTCAGCGACACTTCGCTCTCCCTCGACAACCTCAAAGCCTTGAAGTCTTGTTTACCAACTTCTGACGAGTTGGAGATTGTGCGGGACTTCTCCGGTGACGTCAGTACGTTGAGTCGAGCGGATCAATACTTCAAACATATCCTTGGCATCCCGCGTCTTGCCGAGCGGCTGGACTGCATGCTGTACTCCAGGACATTTGAGCTAGGCATCGAGGAAATCAAGCCAGAGCTCAAGATTCTCCGCGAGGCGATTGACGAGGTCAAAACATGTGGAAAGCTCAAGAAAGTTCTGCAGGTGAGCGAATTACCTATATTGTTAGAGGTGGCGGCCGCTGAGTGCTCAATGTCGAATTCTTAGACGGTGCTCATCATCGGCAACGTATTGAATAACTCGACGTTCCGAGGCGCCGCTGCCGGATTCCAGTTCAATGATGTGCTCAAGCTGCGCGACACAAAGCCAGTCAATGCCAGTAAGGAAACGCCAACACTGCTCCACTACCTTGTGCGTCAACTCAACCGGAACGACAAGAGTCTAGTCGGATTCTTGGATGACTGTGCACACGTTGAAGCGGCCGCTAGGGTCTCAACACAGTCACTGGCAACCTCCATTAGCACCTTGGTCGCTGGCCACCGCGTTGTCCGCGATGAGATCGAGATCCTAGAGCGCAGCAAGGTATCTACCGCTGGTGATCAGTTCTTGCCCGTCATGAGCAAATTCCGCGACGAGAGCGCTAGCCAGATCACGGCATTGCAAGCCGCGCAGAAGACCATTTTTGCAGACCTGGACAGGCTTGTTGCTTACTTCGGCGAAGACCCAACGCAATCGAAGCCAGAAGATTTCTTCGCCACGCTGGCAAGCTTTGGTCAAGCTTTGATGCGCGCAGAGGTGGACATTTTGGAGTCAGACAGACGCGCGGAGATCGAAGCGAAGCGGAATGCTCGCAGCAAGGGCTTCTTGCGGCAGATTTGGGGTCCAGAAGTCAGAGGACCTCTTGCCGCGCTGCAAGAGACGCAGAGTGGCGAGGCTGCGGCCAACGTGCTGACGCCGGAAGTCACACCGTCTCTTGTTCCTGCCTCAGTCGCTGCTGCCTCGGACCAGGAGGCCGATGAGGCGGCAGACCAATTCAATCCCACGGATGACGTGACACCAACAGGCTCGCGCTTCCGATCATTAGGGACCGTTGGAGGAGGCACGCTTGGCCGACGCAACAGACATGCAGCACGGGATCCATCGCTATCAACTCTCGTGTCTCCCGATGTTGGCGACGAGGATGTGCGTCGCAGCTATGGTCGCGGCCGCGGTCACTTCGACGAGGCCCTCAGGGAACTTCGCAGTGGTGCACGTTCGCGAGAACAGCAGCCCATCGACTCCGGACGGAAGAGTTTGCGCAGACAAGACACGGTCCGCGAGCGTCGCCCCTTGTCTCGCGTCTTCCTTGATGGCTCATAGCACGTGTATGTACTGTAGGATGAATTGCATCTGCATCAAGGCGCCGCCACTTCCTCGCAGACTTCTTTGAATGCAGGCGCCACCTGCTTCCGTGTTGCCTTGAGATTCTTCTGCTCCCAGATACGAACAAAATTTCCAACTTGCTCCTTTGGAGAAATGTCGGCCACATTTAGTTTCTCCATGTGAAGCTCTTCTCGCTTTTCTTTCTCAATCCTCGTCATGACCTCTACCACGGCTGTGAGCTCGCCTTCGCTCGGAGCCCGAGCATACATAAGCGCCTGTCGTCTGAAGGTGGACTCGTCCATGAATGAGCACAAGATGCCAAGAAAGTGTATGTTTGTCTCTTTGCAGAACTTTTCGCAGTCTTGTAAGAATGGTTCCTCACTGTCCCTCCTGGTCCAAGCATCGAGGCTCCAGGGTACGGAGGTGAGGCCAACGCGCCATGGCTTGGAGGGGTTGGCACTCGGCCATTCGTACTGCTTGTAGTCTCTTCTGCACAAATCGCGCATATTCAAATGCGAGACGCCATCCTTGGCCTTGGAAAGCGCGTCATGAAAGATGTCGAGGCGTTTAGGTTGACCTTCGAGGGCGGTCGTAGAGAGCAAGCTCATCAACGTTGATGAGCCCAGGTCGGCGAATGGCGTGAGAAGCTGTGCTGCTTCGCGATCCACCGCCTTCGCCTTTCCTATTGCAGGATCGAGGTTGTGCGTATCAATGGCGATGGCAGACAGGAGCAGCCTCGAAATTTCAGCACCGGCGTCTACTTTTGAGAGCTCGTCTTTGAAATGCATGGCGATCAGTGAAGCGCACGAGCCACAGTCGGTAGGGCGTGACACAATGCGCGGCAAAGCGGTGGCGTACAACGTTTCGTCTGCGTGGCTGTTACCGCCAGAACACGACCTCAGCGAATGAGTGCCGTAAGAAAAAGAGGCGGGACATGGTCTCACTGATCAATCACGGCCTTTACGTCCACGTTGCCCTTCCACCGTGCTGACAGTTTGCAGTGGTCTACAAGTGCAGCCTCGACTCTACCCTCATTTCTCTCAGCCTCTTCCCATCGTGTAAAGTCGTCCAAGGAGATGACGTTCTGTTCGTCAATTAAGCAAGCCTTGAGCGCAAGCTGGTTTTCGAGGCGAAGTTTAAAGTCTGCTTGCGCCGTCTGAACGAGAGGGAGCCACGGTCTGTCGGCCGGTGTGCGTTGATGCGAGAGGTAGGCGAATGCAATCGCGCACGCGAGTGAGTCGAGATCTCCGGCTTCGTTGCCCATGACAACACGAAGACCACCAGCTTGTGCTCGTGACGTCGCAGTCAGGAGTGCCTCGCGTGTGGTGCGCAAAAAGTGATTTAGCGGCGTGTGAGGCAGGTCCGTCATGGTGCGAATGGCGACTTCGGAGAACTTGGCACGGTGGGGAAACAACGAAGTGCGAGTCAAGCCGAGGCCAAGAGGAGAATGGGTGAAGTGCAGCTGTGAAGCGATCCGAAATGCTGACATGGGCTTTGCAGGGCCAGGTTCTACACTGTGGCGAAATATATCGCTGGATGCGCTCCTTGATTGGGTTTCGCATCAACTTTCGGTCGCCTTGAGCTCCTCCGGCCTAACGCGCACGTGTGGCTGGTGGCCGCTTCCTTCCTAAAGCGAGCTCATGATGACCGCTATGGCTGGAACAGTGACCATCTCATCCTTCAGATCTTAACAATACATGCATAGCAAGGGGAAGGGCTCGAATTCTCGTGTACAAGCCAAAGCGCCCATCCTATCCCATCATACTGTGAGATGTACATATGTGAATTCAAAGTATGCCATCAGGCTTGATAATACACAATACAGAGAGATGTAAGAAATGTCTGTCGATTTAAGCCACCAGACAGCTAAGCCCAATCTCCAGCGATCTAAGGCCAGCTGCCTGGATAGCAATGCCGCTTAATCGGCCGCACCGACTTGCGGAATACAATATTCAGCATTATTCTTGCAGTGTACCAGGAACCGCTAAGCACCTCGATGGAGTGTTGCGGGCAGAAAAATCACTGCGAACATATAGAGCGTGGTCTTGTAGGATGCTGCTTGCAGCTTTTGTGAGTGTAGGCCGTGCAAATTGTGACACCATGATGTATAAGGCTAGCTCAGAGCCTGCGACGGTGCGAAATGTACGACGACATAAGGAGGTTCGCTCTGAGAGCATCATGGGCCGCTCACGTCGTCGATAACATCTCCCATCGTTGCGACCTGGAGCACCACATGCACATCACGCGTTGTCTCTACTCTTTGGAAGAGGTAAACGCGTCGTTGTTGGAATTGAGCAGCCTGATGGGCTTCTGCCGCAATGACTAAGTATGAACCTCAGACCTTTGACTGGTGGTGAAAAAGAGAGATGGAGTCAAGAGGCAAGAAGAAAGTGAAGGAAATTTTAAAGTTGGCAGAGAAGAAATGGGCGTAGGGCAAACGCGAGGCGCTGTCACGTGACAATAGCCGACGCGTCGAGGTTCACGCTGGAGCGAGGCAACACAGAAAGTCGCGACTCCCTGCCAAAAGCTCACAAGTCTCCATCCAACTTCTCCCCTTTCACTACATACACGCCATCCATATGCCCTGATCCTCGTACCGCAACGAGTCGCAGACATCTAGTGCTAATAAACGCTCGCGAAGTGTCTTCGACTCCTTGGCGAGGCGCTTGGATAGTGCTGCGCGAGACGCTCAGAGCCATGCCGCCGTTGAAAAGAGTGCCCTCGTCGTCGACGCTGGGACGCGCGCCGACTGCATCAACATCAGTCCGAGGCGCTAAGCCGCCTCTGAGCAGCTCGTCGAACCTGGGCCGGCCGTCTACTGTGCTTGGAATCAGATCGACTTCTGGCGCTGCAAGTTCATCGAAGGGTGCCGGCAGCGGTCCTTCTTCAAGTCATGGAGGTGCCACAGGGAGTGCAGATACGCGTGAGAGGCGCGAAGGGGAAGGCATCAAGGTATTCGTCCGTGTTAGGTGAGGTTAGGCAAAGCGCGTCACTCGTCGGACTTGGAGATGGTCTAACCCCTATTCCTTCTCAGAGGACACGCTTCGAGCGAGCCACCCGTGACAAACTCAATCCTCTCCACAGCCGGGCCAAGGGGGCATCAGATCCACGTCGCACTGGACCAACCTGTCGTCTCATCAGCTTCGTCCGCGGCTGCAGCTGCAGCGCTCGCCTCTGATCCCGGACAAGAGAGGACGTACACGTTCGATGGGGTGTTTGGACCGGACGCAGACCAGGGGCTTGTGTATCAGGATGTCGTAGTTCCCATCCTTAATGACGTGTTGAACGGCTACAAGTGCACTATCTTTGCATATGGCCAGACTGGAACAGGCAAAACGTGAGTACACATTTGGCATGAACAGCATATCGGGCGGAAGCGTGCTGACAACACTTCGCAGACATACGATGGAAGGTAACCTCGAATCCAAAGGCACCTTTCATTTTGACGCTGGCATCATCCCTCGCACCCTTGATCGCCTTTTCCACCAGGTGGAGATGGACAAAGAGCGTGAATTGAGCGTGCGGGCGACATTCCTCGAGCTATACAATGAGGACCTACGTGATCTCCTCTCGCCGGACTTTTCGGCCCCTGGTGCCAGCACAGGCATAGGGAAAGGAGGAAGCAGCAACCTCAAGATTTTCGAGTCTAAAGATGGCCCCCAGGTACAGGGTGTGTGGGAGACACCGATTTCTAGCGCTGAAGAAGGCTTGAAGCTGCTACGACAAGGGAGTGAAAGGCGCCAAGTGGCAGCCACGAATTGCAATGACGTGTCCAGGTGCGTAGGAGCAAGGCCATAGTACGTTTAATGATATTGCTATTGACCTTCAGCCTCGCGCGTCGCTCGATAGCCGCTCGCATTCCATCTTCACACTCACCGTCTACACTCGTGACACGTCACCGAACGCGAAAGACAACGACCTTCTCAAAGTGGGCAAGTTATACTTGGTTGATTTGGCAGGCTCCGAAAGCATCGAGCGATCAGGCGCAAAGGAGAAGGGAGCTCGCGAGGCAGGGATGATCAACAAGAGCTTGCTAACGCTCGGGAGGGTCATCAATGCACTTGTAGAGGGCAGTGCTCACGTCCCATATAGGCAAGCCACATGAAGCGTATTTACCGAAGCGTTTGCATCTTGCTGATGGCCTGCGCTTCTGCAGGGAATCCAACTTGACGCGACTGCTCCAGGACTCGCTTGGTGGCGGCCACAAGACCTCAATCATTGCCACCGTTTCGCAGGCAAAGAGCAATGTCGAAGAAACACTTTCTACGCTCGACTACGCTCTGCGAGCAAAATCCATCAAAAACCGCCCTGAGCTCAATGCTAAGCTCAATCGCCCTGCGCTGGTCAAGGATCTCGAGAATATGGTCAAGGTATTGCAAGCCGATCTCCGTGCCTGCATTCAGCAGAGCGGGCGGTACATCAGCGAGGAGAATTACTCGCGTATGCTTAGTGACCACGACGCGACACAACGGCAGAGAGACGAGTTTAAGCGCGAGGTCGAGGTGGAAAAGAGTAAGGTGTCGAGCATAGCTGAGCAGGTGGAGCATATGGCTCAGAGAGATGTCAAGAGGCAGGCGGAGAATACTGAGCTGAGGAGCGCGCTGGAGAAGAGTCAAGCAGAGGCAAGGAGCTTACGGAAGGAGCTCAGCGCCGCGCATAGCAGAGTGGAGGCCTTGTCTGAAAGCGAACGGATACTATTTATGACTGCACAAGAGCTGCAGGCAGACGGAGCAAGGAGTGTAGCTGACAATGAGGGTCTTATCGCTAAGATCGGTGAGTTCAATTGTTTTAGGTTCATGCAAGGTTCTGACTGACGACTATATCTGCTCATCCAGCTCGTCAAACGAGCAGCGAAAAGGACATCTTCTCTGGCATCATGGCGTACCAGCTCAGTCTGAAGTCACACCTTTCAGAAATTGAAAATAGCGCTCTGGTCATTACCACCAGCACCGACAGCTTCTGTCAACGGAGTAGCGAGTCTGTGTCGAGCTATGCAGCGCAGCGCACAGAGGAGGAGAATGCTCGAAAAGCGACGCTGCAAGGGCACGCCGAGGCGATCAATAGCATCATGCAGACTCTGCATCAGCAGCGGGGGTCAACGGATGGTGCCCTAGCACAGCTCTGCGATGCTCTTTCCAGCCTGCTGGGAAGCATCGCGAAAGAGGGTGAAGAGACTCTGGCTAAGTACGAGCAGTCGACGAGTCAGCTCTTTTCACAGCTCTCGGATCATCTTCGAGCCAATCGCAAAGAGGTTGAGAAAGCTGCGCGAGTTTCAACGGCTAATGCCGACGAGATCGTCACGCTCGTCGGGCAGCATCTCGCGCAGCTTAAGGGAGAGCTTGACGACCTCAAAGCACGCATCGATAATTCTGCAAAAGAGTGGAAGGACACGCTCGAGCAGCAGCAGGCGACAGAAGCAGAGGAAATTGCAGACTGGGATTCTGGGCTGGAACAGGTCGTCGAGCATCTCGTAGCAATCAGCAGGAGAACCAAGGCACACAGAGAAGCGAGAGTGACGCGACTGATCGAGCACGCTGCGCGGAGCGCCGAGCATCGCGCGAGTAGGTTAAGCGAGGTCGATGTCATTCAAGCCGAGTGTGAAGCGCTCTGGAACGAGCTCGACGGCCGGCAGGGTGTGTTGCGCAAGGGCTACGAGGAGATTCACTCCACGCTCAAGACACATGAGAGGAGCCTTAAAGGCGAAATGCACGGCTTGGAGCAGACCGTTTCGAACGCTCTGCAAGACCAGGTGTCACACCTAGCAAGAGGCGCAGTGGGTTTGCAGGAGCAGCTAGCATGTGGTGAGCTATGAGCTGCAAACTGCGTTCCACATCCGGACACAGCTTACGCAAGTCTTGCGCTCTTTCAGGACGGGCTGATGTTTCAAGCGCGCTAGATCAAGGCCACGGAAGCGCCATGTCGATCGCTCAGATGGCAAGAGAGATTGTTGGCAGCGGTGTCGCTCATGCAGAGGGATCGTTAGACGCTGCATCCAAACTCGCAGAGACGTGCCGAGGAGAACTGATGTTGCACTCTGCCAGCATGCTTGCGAAGGCCCAAGAAGTCGAATTGTGCACTACGCAGATCCGTTCTGACGTTATGTCTCAGCTGGAGCAAGGCCTCCGGCCATACGCACCTCTGGGGTCGACGCCGAGCAAGCGCCAGTACAACTTTAACCGCACACTCCAACTGGCATCGCAGTCTGGCATACGCTCTGCGCGCTCGTCTGTGCAGTTGAACGCGAATGCATCCTTTTCGTCGCAAGCGACCATGACGGGTCCGCGCGGTTCAGAGATCGGCCGGATGGCTTCGACGCTTCGCAACTTCCTCCCGGGCGTCGTCACCGGCGGCGCCGGCCACACGAGCCACAACTCCTCTGCGCCAGGTGACACGACAGCGACATCCATCGCATCGCATGTGCTGGCCGTGCCAGGCAGCGGCAGCGGTGGCGGCGGTGCGTTGCAGGATCTCAGCAAGAGCCTCAACGTACCGCGTGGCACGCATGCAACGGGCACCAGCGGAGGCAAGGCTGCAGCGGCGAGCAAGAAGAGTGCTGGCTTTGTTGGAGCTGGAGCAACAGATGCGCCTGCTTTAGACAAAGACGAAGAAGACGACTACGTTTTCGGCGAGGACGACGACATGAACGCCATCGACACAAGCTTGGGCGCCATCAAGCGCTCTCATATGGATATGAAGGCCAGCGCAACGGCCTTCACCGCCGCCGCCGTGGACGTCGCTGCTGGGTCAGGGCCACGGAGCAAGCGCCTCAAGGCGTGATACGTGCGCCATTTCGGAACTCTTCTTGCCTTGCTGGTATACTCATCACATACCATCTCACACACGCCTTGCACGCGAAGCTTGCATGTATTTCTTTCCCTGTCTGATCTAAATCGAGCGGTATACCCATTTAGCCGCCCATAGAGGACCCGCCTAGCCCCTGCCTGCCCCTTGAATATCGGACATGGAGCGTGAAACGTGACAGACGAAAGGTACTGCTGGCGGCGAACGGTGACAGTTCTGAGAAGAGGGGAGCTCATGCAAAACACAGCATACGACGCGACGCGCTCTCGATGATGCATGCTTTTGTGGTGGTAAAGTGATGCATTGGACCTTGCAAGGGGTGAATACAAAGGTGGACGACTCGAGAAGGATGAGTGCAGTTGCCAGCAGTGGCTGACCCGAGGCGGACGGCAGCCGACGTGACGACCCCCAACCCGTGCCTGCGTATTTGTCCACTTTTCAGAGGGAGCTCAATCACAATGAAAGTGCCGCCGCCCGCAATGACGACAGTGAGTAGACAAGTACCGACTGCGGAGGCTATGCGCTGCAAGATCATCGTGTGAACTCTTGAAAAGGGCAAAGAGAAAACAAGCACGCCACACTCCCACAGTCCGCGCTGGGCTAACGACGAGTTAGAAGAATGACCAGTGTTCGTCAAACCATCTCCGTCGACTGTCGAGTTGCACGGCGAGGGGAGGGGAGTGGTCCCTCGAGCTGACAGGAGTGTCCACGCCCTTCGGCAAGTCGGCAAGCAAGTCGTGGATCGACCCGAGTACATACGATGCATACGTGGATATGATTCGGCCATGTCACGGGGGCGCATGGCAGGGTACAGGGTCTGGCTCTATCCTCTGGGCTCTCCCTGTAGCTTCTTTGGATGCGAATCAGAATGTCACTCTCTGTATCAGTGTACGTGTTGTGGAGGTCGACATCCTCCCTGCATTTGTCAACCCTTCCCAGCCTCCTGCCACTCGCTCCGTCGGGCACAACTCACTCTCACTCCTCCGCCCCCTCACTTGCCACGGCCCATTGTCAAGCCGCCGACCAGCCAGCAAGCCTTGTGCGCTGCGGGCACTGCCGGCCTCCGGGAAGGAGGCAGCGCGTCATCGGCGCCATCTCGCTCCGAAAGCCTGGCCGCCACGTATGACGGAGACCGAATATTTGCACCGCGCACGAGCCAGCAGTTATCCTGGCACGAATCACTGGAACGGCGCCGCCCAGTGCCCATGCTTCTGACCGCTGGCGAGGCCTGGCCAGAGCCCTCTGCACGGATCATGCAATCATCATCTTCCGGATCAATAGTGAGGCTGCTGCACACTAGGTCCAGTCGTGACTCTCATGTCAGCGCTCTCTTCGTCTCTCGACGCTCTGGTGTACTGCGGCCTGCGCATGGGCCATCCTACCTACTAATCTACCGCAATCTCGCCTTCCGTCGTCCTCACGCCGACAATGAGCGGGTATCCGGGTGGCTTTCGTTGCTTGTTGCTGCTTTGTCCTTTTGTGGAGCGTGGCATGTATATATAGAGGAAGGCTTGCAGCCCCTTCCCTGCGAGCACGTTGCACCATCGCCTTGACTCGCACAGCATTGAATCCCCACTTCAACGCAATCTAGCATCCCCACCACTTCCACTTTACACACTCTCGCCACCATGGATAACCTTCTGAACAGGGCCAAGGTCAGTTGATGGGGCACAACCTATTGTTGCGCCAGGTACAGCTAGCTGACCCGCGTATTGAACCCAACGCTGTCCTGCCTCCTGCAGGAGTTCGCCAACTCTGACACAGGCAGGGACCTGATCAACCAGGCGGGCTTTGGCGGCAACTTGGTACGTTCCGTAGATTCCTTCCAATGCTGATGGCCCTCTCACCTGACGTTGCAATGTCCTCTTGAATCTTCAGGGCAACAAAGACAACGAATCGTACGGCTCGGGAAACAACAACGACTCGTACGGCTCG